ACAGCAGCGCCCACCCACTGCCATAGCTCCTCGCGTTCTTCCAGTGCTGCCCGGCTGGCGTGAAATAAGGGTCCGCAAATTTCACGGGCAGGTCTTTGCGCACTGTGGGCTGCTCTTTGGCGGCGAGATACCATGGAGTAATTTCTCTTCCCCGGACAAGGGGAGTCTCGGGGTGGGAGGAGCCGGGCGGCAGCAGCAGGTAGCGGAAAACTTTGTGCCAGAGGTACTCCGGCAGTATGTCTATTGTATCACTGGGGGTGGCGGCTGGAAGGAGAAACGGGTGATTGATATGGGTGGCATGGGTGACATGGGTGAGAAACGAAGGGGGTTGATGGGGTGGGAGGAGCTGAGCGGCAGCAGCAGGTAGCGGAAAACTTTGTGCCAGAGGTACTCTTGGAGCATGTCTATTGGATCACTGGGGGTGGCGGCTGGAAGGAGAAACGGGTGATTGCTATAGGTGGCATGGGTGAGAAGGGAAGGGGATTGATGGGGTGGGGGGAGCCGGGCGGCAGCAGCAGGTAGAGGAAGGCTTTGTGCCAGAGGTACTCCGGCAGTATGTCTATGGGATCACTGGGGGTGGCGGCTGGAAGGAGGGATGGGTGAGATGCGTGATATGGGTGATATGGATGAGATGGGTGGGAAGGGGATTGATGAGAGAAAGCAAAAGGGGAAATATTTAAAAGGGTGCTGTTTTTGTCGCTCGTTTCCTTCGTGGCTGTGGTTTCAAGCCTTGAAAACACGTCTGGACAGCAAGAGCACTCCAAAAGCTTTTGACATGGAGCTGTTTTTGAGTTTGTTTTTGAGCCGCCTAAAAACGAGCGGTTTTCTCTGAGTTCTCCGTTCGAGCACCTCCGTTCAAGCTCGGAAAGTTCTCCGTTTGAGAAGCTCTCCTAAAGCCCACCTCACCAACGCTAAAATGACTCCATGATGCAAAGAATGAGAATGACGTAGCGGAGTTGCGAGTTTCTATACTCTACTCTATGATCTAACTTTCTGTGAGTTTTTCCAGTACGAGTGACAGAGAAAACAGACACAAAACGACGGAACAAGTGGTGCGAGATGGAACGGATAGGAATTAACGGTGAGTGGAGCATGGACTGGATCCAAATGAGAAGGAAAACCACTGAATGAGGTGCGAGCTGATTGTTTCGCAGTGCTCGTATAGCTCGCAAGGAAGAAGAAGCAGGAGGAAAATAGGACGGAGAGAACAGAAGGAGATGGAGGGTAGAGGAACTAACTGACACGGAATGCCCAGGAGAGTTTACACAAACTGTCAAAAGTTTTTTTAGATAAGTTATCAAAGCAGGGAGGTGAAAACCATGTGCTTTTTGTTTAAAGCGTGAAGATGAGGTGAACGATGGATTTCTGCGTCGTGAGCCCTTGCCTTCTGGGTCAGCATTGTTCTTCTGTCTCTTCTCCTCCCGTCGCTCGGCGCGCTCTCTCAGTTCGCCAGTAGGCTGTAGCGCTGCCATGGAAAATTAAGTTTCTTAAGCTCCCGCTTCGCCAGTGGTAATCATGTACTTATTAAAAAAGGTGCTATGTACTCAACGAAAGAACCATGCATTTGCAGTCGTCACTTGAACTCGAGCGCACTTGTCGCGACTATGGTGCCTATGTATGCGGCTAATCAATGGCTCTCGCCCATTGTCCAACACTGAAAATGGGATGGGACGCGCTCATATGAAGAGGTCACCCCACCTTCATTCATTTGACACTGACATACCCTTTGAAGGGGTTCATTCTGGTGCGCAATGGTCTGAAACGGTGAACCACTTGGAAAAATGAACGAGTCGCCCACACAACTCAACGGCCAACTCTGCAATGCCCACTTTTGCGCAGCGTCTCAGTACGCTGTGCAAGTCTTCGCGAAATACTCCGCGAAATACTTCAACGTACCCCACAACGCGAAAATCTATACCGGTATTGTGTCTACATTACAATCATAATATACTCCAACAAAGTTAGCAATGAAACCAATGAGGTTCCACATAATGTTCTAGCACTACTGGACATACCCTGCTGCACGGCCCTCCCTCTCCTCCACCACCCTCACCACCTCAATCGCACAGCGCTAGAGCCACTTTCAGCATAAAAAAACCCACTGCTTCACCACCAATCTTCATCCCTCATCCCCATTAGCCATTCCCTGAGTGCTCCGCTCCCATCTCCCCCCCTCTCCTCCCTGATTGCCCTTCAACCCCCACGCCAGGCACCAAGAACCAAGCCACCTTCATCCCATTATAGTCACATTGTCACACGCTCCAACACTCGCCCCTCCAATCATCCTTCCCTATCACTGCTGCAGTTCATTCACATACCCATCAACACGGCCCTCCCTCCCCTCCACCACCCTCACCGAAGCCACTTTCGGCATGAAAGCACTCACTGCTCCCTCATTCCTTCCCCCCCCCCCCCCTCCTCCCCCCATCCCCCCCCCCCCTCTCTTTCTCACCCCTGTTACTCATTCCCTGTGTACTCAAGACCTTACCCTGCCCTGCTTCTCCTTCACCTCCCCGTGCTCACCTTTCTGCAGGAGTCTCACCAGGCACCAGGCGCCATGAACCAGGGCACCTGCAGCCCCTTATAGTCACACCGCAGTGCCAGGAACCCCGACCCGCGATCCTTTCACAGTGACGATACCTTGTGAACGGCGGGGGAAACCAGCGAAAACGCCCTGCTACCACCGCTGCTACCACCGCTGCTACCACCGCTGCTACCACCATTGCTACCACCGCTGCTACCACCGCTGCTACACCACTCCCACCACCACTGCTGCCACTGCTGCCCTGGCCCATCCCATCCAGCAGCACCCCCTCCGCACACGCCACCAGTACCAGCACGTCACACTCGGGGAAATTTGCAAGCTTCTCGGGCGTGATCCGCCGCCTGATCGCAATCACGTACGCCTTCTTCCCCGCGGCTACCGTAACGGACCGGAGAGCGGTGACAGCATCCGGTAGTCCCGCGTAGTTAGTTATCATGCATTATTCTTCCACACCACTCCCTTCTTCACCATATCAAATACATCTGTTGACATGTCTGCAAATACGAATGCTAGAGGCGGTCCGAGCTGTCTTCGGTCTTCCACAGGCTCCCTTTGTACTTCCACATATAAGCCTCTTCTTTATCAACACTGTACCCCTCGACCAGCTCTCTATTCACACTGTGCATCTTCTCCCGCACGTTCTTCGGCCGCTTCTCCGCAAAGCAAGCGCATGGCACCCCGCTTCTCGCCTTCCTCACGTGCACCACAGGGGTCTCGGGCAAGTCCTTTCTCTGCTTCTCCCAGTAGAACGAGCGACGTGAGATGCAGTACAGGGAGAGGGAGGGACAGAATTCACGTAGGGAAGCGAGGGTTTGTTGCTCGCATGTGTGGGTAGGGAAGAAGATTGCTCGCAGGTTTGGAGCCAAGATAAACGGAGGCCTTCCCGCTTGCTGCTGCTCCTCCTGCTCCTCCTCCTCCTCCTCCTCCTCCTCCTCCTCCTCCCCCTGCTGCTGCTGCTGCTGCTGCTGCTGCAAAACCTGCAAAACCTGCTGCTGCTGCTGCTGTTCCTGCTGCTCCCGCAAAAGCTGCTGCTGCTGCTGCTGCTGCCGCTGCCGCTGCGGCTTCTGCTGCCGCTGCAGCTGCTGCGGCTGCTGCTGCTGCTGCTGCTGCCACTGCTGTTGCTGCTGCTGCAGCTGCAAAATCCGCTGCTGCAAATGACGCTGCTCCTGCTGCTGCTGCTGCCGCTTCTGCTGCCTCTGCTGCTGCAAGAGCCTCCCATCGCGCTCCTGAATTTCCTCCACTGTAACCTCCCTCTCACCATCATCCCGACGCTCGTCAAACTTCAAATCCACCTCAGACCGCTCCTCTCTCTCCACGACAATCCCAAGGCTGCGCAGGCTGCTCCACTCCGCATCAACCCCCTCTACAGGCACCCCATGCCTCACTATAAGCACCTCCACTGTTGGCGCTATAGGGCGCAACCATTCAACCCAGGAGAACTCAGCAGAGCTGCGGCGGTGCACACTCTGCCTGTCAGGAGAGAGTTCAGGTGAAAGTTCAGACGAAAATTCATAGGAGCCCGGGTCGAAAGAGTAGGGGTTGTAAGAGTACTGGTCATCGTGGGAGTGGTGGTCTTTGGGAGGGCCGTTGAGATAGGCCACCCGTACAGAAGCGAGGCGGAGGGAGGAAATGACAAGCCGCTGCTGGCCGTACAGCAAGAGGTGGTGGAGAGCGAGAGGTTCGGTGGTCTTGCACGAGAGCACGAGCCTCTTTGCCATTGCTGAGAAGGTCTTGAGCGAGCTAGAGAGGGTGAGGACGAGCTTGAGGCTGCTCTGGGGGAAGTAAAAGCGGACGGTTTGAGCTTTCGATAAGTCGAAACGGAACGTGCCGCCGCCACCGGGGCCTGGGGATGGGTGCTCCAAATTCCAGCTGTGATAGAGTGTGAATTTCGTGAGCCGCGGTGTGACCGTGCCCAAATACTTAACATCCGCGAATTCCCAATCCACGTGTTTAAGAGTCAAACAGCGCAGCGACTTGAACCCCTCAGCCCAGCCGTGCTGCAGGTTCCACCTGCCCCGGCCGAGCTTCAGCCGCTGCAGAGCCGGGCAGTCCAAGGTGCGGGTCCAGGGATTCCAGTCCACTGGGTCCTCGGAATTCAGGTAGGCTTTGTCGACAGTGCTGCGCAGCTTGAGAGTGAGCGAGGTGAGGGAGGCGAAGGGCCGGTTCAGCGGCGAGCGAAGTTTGTCGAGCTGCTTGACGTGCGTGAAGGTGAGCGCGAGGGACCTGAGGCTGCGGCGCCAGCGCAGGAAGAAAGTGACGCTTTTGATCCACTGCGGGTGCAGCTCGTTGTAGACCAGCGCGATGGGGTGGTGGGCCTGCAGAGAGGGAGGGACGGGCGAAGGAATGGATGCGCCGGAAGCATGGTGGAACTTAAAAGAGCATGAGTCTCGAAGTAAAGGAGAGCAAGCGCAGAGCAGCGCAAGTGCAGTGAAGAGCAGAGCAGTGCATGACTCACGGAGAAGGAGAGCACGTGGTAGAGGAGCCTCTTGCTGGCCATGGCGCAGCACAGCAGGGCCCACCCACTGCCATAGCTCCTTGCGTTCTTCCAGTGCTGCCCGGCTGCTGAGCAATTAGGGTCCGCAAATTTCACGGGCAGGTTTTTGCACGCTGTGGGTTGCTCTGTGGCAGAGAGATACCATGGAGTAGTTTGTCTGCCCCGGACGAGGGGAGTCTCAGGGTGGGAGGAGCCTGGCGGAAGCAGCAGGTAGAGAAAGACTTTGTGCCAGAGGTTCACCGGCAGCATGTCTATGTAATCATTGGGGGTGGCGGCTGGAAGGAGGGATGGGTGAGATGGGTGATATGGGTGATGAGGGAACGAAATTGATGTATGTTTTGGAATAGAGTTGTTTTGAAAATAATATCAGTTTATTCGTTGTTCGTTTTCGTAGCGGCTGTGATTTCAAGCCTTGAAAACGGTATGTATGGCAAAAGCACTCGCGAAGGGCTGTGGAATGGAACTGTTTTTAATAGATTATCGAGCCGCCTAATAAATGAGTTTTTTTTCCCGAGTTCTCCGTGCATCTCCTTTAAAGCACGTGCGTTCGAGCACTTATCGTAGGGCCCCACCCACCCCACCTCACTAAAACGACTCCATGGTGTAAAGAATGAGAATGACGAATTCGAGATGCGAGATTATCTACCCGACGATCTAATCTTCTGATATTTTTCCCCAGTATAAGAGACAGAGAGGAGGAGAAAGATGAAACGACGTAAAAAATGGTGCAGGGTGAAACGGTTAGGCATTAAACTGGGATTGGCACTGAATGAGGTGCTAGGTAGTTGTTTCTCAGTGCGCGTAAACCTCGTGAGGAAGCAAAAAAAAGAGCGGAGATTAACAGAGGGAGGGGAGAATAGGAGGTGGAGGGGAGAGGAACTAGTGTCAAGTCAAGGATTGCCTGGAAGAGTTCACTGAAACTCTCAAATCTTTATTTGAGATATATCTAAGCAGGAGGTTGAAATTTAGGTGCTTCTCGTTCGGAATGTGAAGGTGAAAAGTGGGATGCTGCGTCGATAAACAATAGCAGCCCTTGCCTTCCGTGTCAGCATTGTTCTTCTGTCTCTTCTTCTCCCGTCGCTCGGCGCGCTCTCTCAGTTCGCCAATAGGCCGCAGCGATGTCATGGAAAATGAAGTATACGCGCTCTCCCACGTCGCCAGTGGTAATCACGCAATTCATAAATAGACGCTACGTATTCATCACAAAAATCATGCAGATCCACTCGTCATTTAGACTCGAGCGCACTTGCCATCACGACCATATGTGCCTGAAATTCAGTCGCTGGCTGCTCTGTCCCATTGTCAATGGGGGGGTGTGTCATTTTCGTTCCCTTTGTACTGCACAAAAGTTGCTGCCTCGACGAGCAAATCTGGAATCTTGTGTTGTGTGGGAAGTCACCTAGTGTGGACAAAAGTTGACAAGGAAGGTTGAAGTGGGTTAGAGAGCGATTGCGAGAGGTTTGGAACGTTTTGCCCGAGTTGACAAGGAGCTGGGGTGCGGGGTGGAGGGTAGGAGGTCGGGACGGGAGGGATGGAGCGAAGTTGACGCGACAAGATCGAGGACAATTTCGATACAAGGGTGTGCGTTGAAAAGAGCGCCACAATCTTATACACGTCATGTCACTCATACGTATCTAAATCAATCGCATTATGTTGTAGAAAAATTGCAGGTGAACTACGTTTTTCAAACCGCAGGTATGACTAAAAGTTCCCACTTTTTTCATAACAACAAACAAGACTCTTCATTACTCCCCCGCCCCCTGCTTCTCCTTCACCCGACCCTGCCCAGCCTTCCCAGGGCAAGCACCAACCGACACTCGCCCCTCCTACCAACTGGCAACCATCCTTCCCTATCCCTGCTGCGGCTCATCCCCATACCCGGCAGCACGGCCCTCCCTCCCCTCCACCACCCTCACCGCATCAATAGCCGGAGCCACTCTCGGCATGAAAGCACCCACCGCTCCCCCATCCTCCCTTCCGCCCTCATGCCCTCTCCCTCTTGCATCCCCTCCCGCTTCCCCGGGCGTCCCCCCAGGCGTCCCACCAGGCGTCCCACCAGGCGCCATGAACCACGGCACCTCCAGCCCTTTATAGTCACGCCGCAGCGCCAGGAATTCCGATCCCGATCTCGCCTCCACCGCTGCTGACGTGGCGTACCCCGATTGGCCAGACGCCCGAGCCAGGGCCAAGGAGTCGGACGAAACGGGCAGAATAGAAAGAGCCATGTCCTGCCGGACGGCCAAAACAGATTCATCTGATTCTGCTGCTTTTATTGCTGATGATGGTGCTGCTGATGGTGCTGCAGACGATGGTTTGTGAGGAGCAGGGGAAACCAGCGATCCTTTCACAAAGGAAAATCGCGGAGCCACATCATCCCCACCTTCCTCATTCTCTCCCCCTGAACCTGCCTCTTCCTCCCTCACAGCTTTTCCCCTCCCAACCCCCCCCACCCCAGCACCATCCAGCAGCATCCGATACTCCCCCGTCCACTCCCGCCCTTCTTCCAGTGCCATCATCGCCTCAAACGGCGTCACCACCGGCGCGTAGAACGCCCTGCTTCCACCGCTGCTGCCACTGGCCCCCTCCACCATACCCTCCAGCAGCACCCCCTCCGCACACGCCACGAGCACCAGCACGTCACACTCGGGGAAATTCGCGAGCTTTTCCGGCGTAATCCGTCTCCTAATCGCAATCACATACGCCTTCTTCCCTGCAGCCACCGCTGCGGATCGAAGCCTAGCAACGGTAGCGCGGGTGGAGGCGGCAGCAGCGCCGGCAGACTGGGAGATAACTACAATGCCGATGATTGACGCGTCTTTGGTCTTCTCGACGAGGAAGTAGCGCCGGCGCAGCAGGCGGGAGTGGTCCACCGGATGGAAGAGCGGGGCTGTGTGGGCGGAATCAGGGGTAGAGGAAGGAGAAGGGCTCTCGCTGGTGGTGCTGGTGGTGAGAGTGCTGGTGTTACTGCTGCAGGCGGTGGTGCGGCTGTCAATAGTAGCAGCAGCAGCAGCAGCAGGAGATAGGTGGGTGGGGTCGAGTCTGAGAATGGGTGTTTGGTTGTGCTCGAGGGCGAGAGTGATGAGAGATGGGCATTCGTCACTGCTGCCCACCCACACCACCGCTGTCACCCCCACTGTCGCCGGTGCTGTTGCTGCTGATGGTGCTTCTGCTCCCGATTGGTTAATTGGGTTGCTGCTTTTGGCAGTTTCTGCAGCCATGCTCGACATGGGCGGCAGCACCCACCGCAGGCCGCCGTGTTCGAAGAGAGTGCCAGGGGCAGCACACTGGGCGGCACACTGGGCGGCACACTGGGCGGCAGAAGAATGGATACTGGCAGCGACTGAAGCTGCAGTACCACCATCAGCAGCAGCAGCAGCAGCAGCAGCAGCAGCAGCAGCAGCAGCATTGGAGGAAATATCTTCACCACAACAAGAGATATTTCCGCACGTGCCCCTCTCTGTCGCTCCCCCGCAGCACGCGCTTCTGTCAGTCTCCTCTCTGGCACCGCCGTTACAGCACCCGCCACTCACGGCGCGACACGTGTCAGCACCGCCACTTTTCCCCCCTTCCTCCGGTTCCACCTCCCGCTCGCGCACCTGCGCCACCACGTACCGCACTTCTTCCCCCTCCCCCGCACCTTCCCTCTCTGCCTCCGCCGCTTCCGCTCCGCCGCTTTCCCCCAGAGCGAGCGCAAATTCGTCCGCGGCGTGCGCGAACTCGAGCGCGAACAGCACCAGCACCACGCGGGGGGGCGCGCGCGGGGGGGATTCTCCGCTATCGGCGCCGGTACTTGCGGGGGTGTTGCTATTGGTGGTGGTGCTGCTGCTGCTGCTGCCGCCGCCGGTGCTGCTCTTGAAGTGTGCTTTTATTGCCGCAGCACACGCCGCCACGTCGATGGGCTGACGTGGCAGCACGTACCGCACGGGGAACCGCGCCGGGCGGCGCGACATGCACGCGTGGCCGTAGTGGATGATACATTCAGCGCTGACGTGGCACGGCGACACCTCATCCACGCAGCAGCTGCTGCACGTGGCGGTCGCCGCATCAGCCAGCACATAGAAATGCGGCAAGTCCCGACGCGGAGGATCCGCCGCATCTCCCGCCGACTGACCCCCCTTTTCTAACTGCTTCTCTCCTTGACCCTCCGTAAAACCCGGAAACCCAGACCCGTGCAGTTTTCTCCCGGGCGGGTCGCTCGATCTCAAGGAGTCTTGATCTTGAAGTGCTTCAACAGAAATTTCAGGAGTGGTTTCAGGGGAAGTCTTAGGTGGCGTTTTGGTCTCATTTTCCCCACTACAAGCTGCGTGATGCTGGCTGTTGATAAGCGCGGCGCATTCGGCTCTTAACGCGTCGTGGACGGAGACCGCGTGCGGGAGGAACGAGTCGGGGAACTGAAGGCACACGCGCGAGAAGCCACGTGTCACGATGTAACTTGCGGTCTGCTGGATCTCGAACGCCTCCCTCACCTCCATCGCGGACAGCCCTTCTTTTGTGAATGTGGCCAGCCAGTTATGCGACTTTTCAAATAGAGGGTTATGGAAAATACTCCTCACCTCCACATCAAACTGATGTTTCTCATCACCTCCGTTAGCTACGGCGTAAGCGGCAGGTCAACCTTTTTAGACCGTAGCTCTCGTGTCCTCGTCGTCAATTCTTGTAGATCGACCTTAGCGCGCCTTTCTCGAGCCCCCTTTTTCGCGGCTCCGTGGTGACTTTTAATCACGACTTGGACCGTTTTTAGACCATTCTCGACTCGCCATCCCTCTCCCAGGCTCATTACTATCTCATACCATCCTCTTGCGCGCGTCCATCCCAGCCTCATCGCTTCCTTACTCCATTCCTCTCACGCGTCTCTCTTGTCGCCAATGCTCCGCCTTACTGCATCGAGGGCGGTTCTTCAATTCCCAGCCACGTCGCGTGCTTTCGTCATTTCCGCTAGAGTTACACCCCGCGCTTTCGTCATTTCCGCTAGAGTCACACCCCGCGCTTTCGTCACTCTGCTGCGGCCACATCGCGTGCATTAGTCACACCCGCTAGAGTCACGTCGCTGTCCTCGTGCCTCCGGCTCTGCAACCCGCTCGTTCCGCGAGACGGGCGATTCGCGACGCCCCGCCAACGGGAGTCCCCTAACGCGCCGCCGCGACAGCCGCTGGTACGACGAGTCGCGTCCTGGTAGTCGAGCCGCTTGCTGCTGCTCACGTAACCTCGAGATTTGACCTCCGCTCCTCCTGCTTGGCGGAAAGACACGCTTGAGGGGCAGGCCAACCCTTCCCCAACTCCTTCCCCTTTCCCCTTTCCCTCTACCCCCTTCCCGCTTCCCCCTTCCCCCTTCCCGCTTCCCCCTTCCCCCTTGCCCTTTTCCCCTTTTCCTTTCCCCCTTCTCTCCTCCCACCCTTCCCCCCTCTTCGTCCCCTTCTTTCTCTCCGTTCCCACCCCCTCCCCCTCCTCCTCCCCCTTCCCCCACGGCAGCGCGTGTTGTGCTCATGGAAGAAGAAGGACACGCGGAACATCGGGGGGCGGCCCAACACTACCACCCCTTTATCCGATCTCCTTATCCCTCTCCCCTATCCCCTCCCCCCTCTCCCCGCGTGGCAGCGTGTATTCTGCTCATGGAAGAAGAAAGACACGCGGAACATCGGGGGGCGCGCCAATGCTCTCATTGCTGCTGTGAGTGAGTGTGTGTGTGCACGGCACGGGCACACATGCCCTCCCTCACTCACTCTTACCCTCACTATCTCGTTCAACCAACTTGATCAGTCAGTCAGTCATGTGTTCACGCCCTCACGCACTTTCCCTCCCACCAATCCACGCACTCGCTCACTTCTTCCCCCACTTATTCGTGCAATCTGTCCTTTTTGTTCGTACTCGTTATTCCCATCTTCCTTTCACACCAATTACCGCCCCATCCAACTCCCTTCCTTCTGTACTCGTTATTGTCAGATCCGTGACGTGCCAGACAGCAAGGAGGACGTGTACAGAGCTCTCGACGCATGGGCGGCCTTCCAGCTCGACTTCCCCCTGCTGGCTGTGAAGCGAGCTCTTATGATGATGCAGCAGGAGGGCCAGTGGAAGCGAATACTGCAGGTGAGGGGGAGAGGGTGGCATAGTTAGATGCTATGGCAACATTGCTAATGAGAACTCGACGCATGGGCATTGTTATTGTTAGATCCCCACGCATCTTGTGGCGGTACCTCTCAGCGCTCACGCCCTTGAACGATATGTACTCTCTCACGGTTATGAACCCAGATGTCACCAGAGCTTCGAGATACTGGCACATGTAGTCCCAGCTGTTAGGTTGTTTGGGGATCTGGTGACCCTGCGCACCATCGAGACACAATGTTTCCGTTCATCAGAACGCGCTCCCGTATTAGCAACCAAGTGGGATAGAATGAGCCATACTGTCTTTGCAGCATCTCACCTCCATGATTATCGTTTCGGCTTTGATGAGCGCCTGCCTAGACGCCTCCTGGTCCACCTCCGGATGATCGCGTTTGCGCATGAGGTGCAATAACCTGCACGACGATATAGCCAACAGGTCAGATGAGGTCGCAGGACGTCACCGCTGAAAGGGGGTTGCACGGTGGTATATAGCGACTGTCACGCTTTAGTCCCGTCAAAGGCATCAGTAGTCTTGGCGTGGAGGGCGTCACTGTCGAATAGAATGAACTCCACAGGTGCGGCCGTCTGGCTTAAAATCCCGCTCGGGTTGGTTACCACCATCAAAGAATAGTGTTCCCTGCACAATTGAGGGGTCTTTGTTAGGCTGGGGCGACAGACGGGCTTATAACAGCGGCGGGCAAAAGACGTACTTACCCGGCAAATATCGGGACGGCGATGTAATCGTACTCGAACACAGACGGGCCTGTGCACCTCCCAATCGGCTTCCCGTCAATCTTGGCATACGCATACGCCTTGCTGTCAAGGACCACCCATGATTTCCCGTTCGGACACCTTGGGTACCTGATGTTCAGGAGGCTGCACGGGTGCGAAGGGACAACGCACGATGAAAGTTTAAACGTTAAAGTCGGCATACCGTAGGGTGGCGACAAAGCAACCTGTAGGAGTATCGCCATCCAAAAACGTACATGTTATGGAAATCGACGACCGCGTCCCCCAGATATTTCTTGTCGGCGAGCGTCAAGGCGTCGTGCGCATTCAATTGACAGCCCACACCCATGTGGTTATACAGAGACACCGTCTTAAAAGTCGTTGAAGATGGTGCGTTCAGTAGAGCAGTCAGCGCGTCATTCGGCGCGGGCTCTTCTTTGACGCATGGCAGCCGCGAGCCCCATGCGGAAACCGACGCGGCCACTGCGGCCTCCGTATTCGTATCCCCCTGCTGGAGTTCACGCGAGCGCAGCCGCTTGTTGCTCAGCGATTCCGGGATCGTGGTGTTATCCCGCCGCGCCGCTGCCGGTGGCCTACGCGATGTCATGGCTTGTGGACTATGGAGGCCGCGTTTAGAGGCCTGGGCTTTGGTTCGCGGTACCATGGCTACTACGAGTTCGTGAGAGAGGCCGAAACCCTAGTGTGGCAAGAACTTAACTGTCGGGCTGTAGTGCGACTGAAGCGTTTATACACTCCACCAGTCACCTTCGGGTACAAATATCGGATTTGCTCAGACGACGGAGACCCAGGGTCAGATCGCGATTCTAGAATGTGGATACCACCATGGCGGTTCGTGATTGGCAGCGGGTTCCAGCCATATTTGACACTTGTCACAGTGCAATTGAGCCGAGATTACTGTACCCTCGTCAGCATGCACAGCCGAGACTATGCGGAACCTTTATACACTCAATTGTGCAGCCCTTATCGGGACGACATATGTCCCGTTATGAACATAACCAAATGCGATTAAAGCTCGCGTCTCAAATTTCACCCTTCCGACCAAGTGTTAAACGCTTGGGATCCGGTAACAGCTGGGTTTGTCGCAAAGCACACCAAGGCAAGGGGTGGTTTGGGAAGGTTGGTTGGGAGAGGTTTGAAACAGGGCCTCGTTCCAGGCAAAACCAAACCGAAGGGAAACAACGTTGCAAAGTTGGTTGGGACAGGAATACGACAACGCAGGTTGGGAAACACACCTGCACGAACCAATCTACAGGTGTACAGAAAAACGTGCGACAACAGAGGCATCGTCGCACACTTCCCCGTGCAAACCAAGCATTTACAGCTCTCAGAATTATGAGACTCAGAACTCTCAACTTTGACAAAACGGTTCGTGTAGGCACCAGTTCAAGTGTTTTACCAGCCATATGCCACGTCTTTTAGTATAGCTAGCCTTGAAAACTCAGTCGCGATCATGATGTAGGGGAAACCGTGCGCCTATAGACCTTGGCGCATTCCGTGACCCGCATTCTCTAAGCCCGAACACGGGAAAATCATCAAATTTAGCGTGTCCAATCCCCACCTTCGTCCTCTCCTCGCCAAAAACTGCCGGCGTGGGGTTCATCGCCATTCATCAACCGCCCTTATTAGGTGAAAGGGGAAGGTCGCAGTAGCATGAAGGGTGGAAAGGACGATAGGGACGAGCCAAACGCGGCAAACGCGGCAATGGGGCGATATCACCGAAGTCGCGGGACTAAGGCCCGCCGAGACGCGGGAAAGGTGTGTACCCTGCCGGTGAGCGCGCGCACACCTCCCTTCAAGGGGCGCGCACCCAGCTGTAAGCAGCGCGCACACCGCAAGCAGCTGAGTGCGCCCCGCTGTAGGCATCACGCGCCACCTGAGCCTCAGCGCTCGCCCCGCTATAGGCATGAGGCGCCTCTTTAGCATCAGCGCGAATGCGCCTGTAATCTCACGCGCCATTCGTCACGTAATCGCGCATGGTGCGGGTATGTCAAGCACTACATGAGAGGGGGGAGGAGGAGAGGACAGAGGGGGGGAGAAGGTGCGCTGAGAGGGGGGAGGAGGAGAGGACAGAGGGGGGGAGAAGGTGCGCTGAGAGGGGGGGAGACCCGGTGCTACCCCTCCTATCCCCCCCTGCTTCTCCTCCTTTCCCCCCGGTGCTACCCCTCCTTCCCTGCTTCCCCCCATCCCCTTCCCTGCTTCCCCCCATCCCCTCCCCTTCTTCCCCCCATCCCCTTCCCAGCTTCCCCCCATCCCCTTCCCTGCTTCCCCCCATCCCCTTTCCTGCTTCCCCCCATCCCCTGGCACCCGCACTCTCACTCTCCTTTCCTCCCGCACTCTCTCTCTCCGTCCTCTCCCACTCGCACTCTCCTTCCCCCCACCCTCTGCCCAGTTGTCACCTGCCCTCCCAATGCCTGCCTTTCCCTCCCTGCCCTGCGCTTTCCTTCCCCATCCCTTCTCAACCCTTCCCTTCCTTTTCATGCCCTCCCCTTCCCCCTCACTCCTCACCTTCCACCCTCTAGTTCCCATGCACGTGCACCCATCACTGTCTCCCCATACATTATTTCATCATGTGCGCTTGCTTGTGTTCCCTTGCAGTTGTTCCCTTGGCACCTCACACCACCTCCCCCATGTTCATTCACACAATTCTTTCTGCCTACTCCACTCCCCTAATTTTCAGTGGTGAAGCAGAAGAGCAAGCTGAGGCGCAGCTAAAGCTAGTCCATGCTTTACACCGTACCACCACCTGTTTCTTGTGTGTTGTATGCAATCATGTTCTGCGGGGGGGAAGGAGGAGAGGACAGAGGGGGGAAGGAAGGGTGATATACCAGTTTGCGATAAATTCCCCTAATTTCCCCCCAATCCCCCCTCCGCTCCCTCTCATTCCCCCCTCTGCTCCCTGTCATTCCCCCCCCCCCTGCTCCCTCTCATTCCCCCCTCTGCTCCCTCTCATTCCCCCCTCTGCTCCCTCTCATTCCCCCCTCTGCTCCCTATCATCCCCCCCCCCCCCCCTGTTCCCTCTCATTCCCCCCTCCGCTCCCTCTCATTCCCCCCTCTGCTCCCTCTCATTCCCCCCTCTGCTCCCTATCATCCCCCCCCCCTGTTCCCTCTCATTCCCCCCTCTGCTCCCTGTCATTCCCCCCCCCCTGTTCCCTCTCATTCCCCCCTCTGCTCCCTCTCATTCCCCCCTCTGCTCCCTCTCATTCCCCCCTCTGCTCCCTGTTATCCCCCCCTCCGCTCCCCATAAATTACAGCTCTGCTTTCCCATCAATTCCCCTACTGCACCAGGTCAATACAGAACCCCCTCTGCTATAAAATAATTTCCCCTTGTGCTCCCCATCAATTTACTCACTCCTTCCCCTCATTTCCCCCTTTCCCTCCCCTCCTTTTCAGCCTCCCTCTTCTCCAGCTGCTTCAGCCTTGACACTCAGGATTTTGTCAGAACTGGTCCGCCACGCATGAATTTTGTTAAGCTTTAGCTATTAAATAGTACCGGTTTGACAAGTACCCATGACATGTATCAATGTTGGATGCTTCTTTATAAAAATCACTTCAGTGTTTAGGATACTGAACTGAGCCATTCAGTTGATCACTACAAAGAAGTGCAACAAAGGTTTCCAGACAAGTCACCTTGCCTTCCAGACACAGCAGGTGCAGCAGAGGCAGCGAGGGAGGAGGGCAGGCCATAGCTGCCCTGGCGCCACCCACCCCCCACCTGCACCACACGCATCGCCTCATACCCCGCCACTGCCCACTCCCCCTGCACGCCCTGACTTGAACCAACTGCGCCCCCCACTGCCTTCTCGCCTCCACTGCCAGCATCTGCATCAGCAGGCTTTGTGTGTGGCGGCAGTGGCAGGAGGGCTGTTGCTTGTGTGCGACCAGGTGCGATGGCGGAGAGGGACGTCCACAAGCAGATGGACGAGAGGGCGTATGGCGGCGTGAAGGCGGGTGGGGGTGGTGAGGTGAGGGTGAAGGAGGGGGGAGTGGCTGGTAGCAGCGGCTGCAGATTCCACTGCACAAATGGGTTCAGAGCGGTGCAGTTGGTGTACGGCTCTCCTGAGGGAGAAGGATGGGGACAGGAGGGCAGGAAGAGGGATGGGGTAGAGTGGAGATGAGAGGGGAAAGGGGAGACAAGATGAGCACTCAGAAATAGAGCACAGAATCAAGGCAGAGGGTAATCAAGTGGAGGCGAGGAGGCGGGCAGCGAGCAGCAGCGAGTGGCCCACAAGCGCTACTGAAGCATCCACCCTGCTTCATCCCCACCTCTCACCTTCCCCACTGCCCTGGGAGCGGCTCTATAACCCCCCCCTCCCGCCCCTTCCCACTGCTCAGCACCCTGTCCTCCTTGTGTTCTGCCACTAAGCAGTGGCAGCAGGCAATCATACATCATGGTGATAATCAAGCACAAGGAATTCACCCACTCAGCTCGCACCCACACCACCATCCTTCCAAAACCCATGCCCCCTCTCCCCTCCTTGGCCTGCCCGCCGCGCATGCTCCTCCCACACTATCTGAACCGCCTTGGGGTTGGCCCCCGCTGCTTCTACCTCTGCTGGCTCTATTCCCTGGTGTGCAAGTCATCTCACTGCCTCCCACTGCTGCTTGGTCACTGCATTGTGTAATGGAGTCCCTGGGGGAGGGCAGAGGGCGGAGGGCAGAGAGCGGGGGGCGGATGGTGGATGAGAGAAGGCGGAGGGATACAAAGAGGAGGAAAGCGGCTCTGGAAGCAGATGCAGAGCCAGAGCAATTCAAGCGGGGTGCAGAGGGCACCGCAGGGTAGAGCGCATGAAGGCAAGAGGGCTAAGAAGCTGGGTGGAGAAAGAAACGAGCGAAGCACTTTCTACCGTTCTTGCATTGAACCAATCATGGCACTCACAGCCGCAAGGCACTCACAGCCGCCAGGCACGCACAGCCGCCAGCAGGCACATGCAGTCCACGTGGCCGCCATACGCCGCCACGTGCAGTGGCGTGGTGGCGTTGCGCGTGCTGCACACCCCCGCTGGCATGCCCATGCGCAACAGCGCCTGCAGCTGCAGGCACATGCATGGGAGAACGGCGGGGAGGGAGAGAAGCGGGCAGCAGGGTGAGTGCGGTCCATGCCTGCGACATTATTGAAGGTGCATGTGAGTGCAGGCACGTGGACGGGGAGGGATGAGTGCACACGCGTGATGGACGGTGGGTTCAGAGAGTGTTGAGCGGGCTGCATGGCTGTGCTGCATGGGTGAGAGCTGGTGCATGGCTGTGCTGCATGGGTGAGAGCTGGTGCATGGCTGTGCTGCATGGGTGAGAGCTGGTGCATGGCTGTGCTGCATGGGTGAGAGCTGGTGCATGGCTGTGCTGCATGGGTGAGAGCTGGTGCATGGCTGTGCTGCATGGGTGAGAGCTGGTGCATGGCTGTGCTGCATGGGTGAGAGCTGGTGCATGGCTGTGCTGCATGGGTGAGAGCTGGTGCATGGCTGTGCTGCATGGGTGAGAGCTGGTGCATGGCTGTGCTGCATGGGTGAGAGCTGGTGCATGGCTGTGCTGCATGGGTGAGAGCTGGTGCATGGCTGTGCTGCATGGGTGCAGGCGGGGAGGCAGGTGAGACTGACCACGGGGGAGTCACCATTCCGAGCAGCCACATGCATGGCGGTCCAGCCCCACTTGTCCACCACGCCACTCAGCCCCTCTGCTGACTCCACCCCGCATGCCCGCACCACATGCCACAGCCCCTGCCCCTCCTCCTCCCCACCACCCTCACCACTAGTACATCCCCTCCCCCATGCACTCACCTCCCTGTCAAAAGGGACGACGTCTCTCTTCCCCCTCCTCGGGCAGCACCTGCTCTCCCCCTCCATTCCCCCTCCCCATCAACCCGCGCCTTATTCCGCCCACCCCTAATCTCCTTCCGCCCATCCCTGATCTCATTCCGCGCTTCCCTAATCTCATTCCGCCCTTCCATAATCTCATTCCATCATAACTACTCGCATTTCGCCCATCCGCAATCTCATTCCGCTCTTCATACTCTCATTCCGCCCTTCCTACTGTCATCCCTCCCTTCTTAATCTCGTTCCGCCCTTGTTCCTCTCATTCCGCCCTTCTTCCTCTCATACCGCCCTTTTTCCTCTCATTCCGCCTTTCTTCCTCTCATTCCGCCTTTCTTCCTCTCATTCCGCACTTCTTCCTCTTATTCCGCCCTTCTTCCTCATTCCGCCCTTCGTCCTCTCTTTCCGTCCTTTTTCCTCTCCATCCGCCGTTCTTCCTCGCATTCCGCCCCTCGTTCTCTCATCGCGCCCTTCATCCTCTCATTCCGCCCTTCTGCCTCTCAATCCGCCCTTCTTCATCTCACACCGCCCTTCCAACCTGTTTTCGACGTTCCAAATCGCATTACGCAAACCCTAAACTCATTCCGCACATCCCTACTCTCATTCCGCCCGTAGTAGTCGCAATCTGCCCTTCCTAATCTCAATCCGCGTTTTCCACTCTAAATCCGCCCATCCCGTCTCTCATTCCCGATCAAGGAAGATGCTCTCATACTAATCGTAAACGGGGGAAATAATGCTTAGCTGGCTTTCTATTTCGGTGTTACTACGGCTCAGCGACGGGAGTATGGTTGCTTGGCGTGGGCACTCATTTTCTGACTTCACACTTCTGTCAACCTCAAAACGTGATTGCGTCGCCAGGGTGGGTCGCATAGTTCTCAATCAGACGCAAACCTGTCCCCCAAGGCTCGTCTTACACCCAAACCTGCCCACCCAGGTTTGTTTTGGCCTTGATTGTTGGGGAGTTCGCTGTGTTCTTTTCACCCTCTCGTAAAAACTTTCGTCATTCGTTACCCAATCACGGACGGGCAAACCCAACTAGGTGTTAAACCTTTGGAAATTTGAGACCCGAGCTTTAACAGCGATGTAACATTTCGGCCACTCACCTTGACGCGGATGGATTTATTTCGACTTCGTTTCAGTTACACCATTGAATTATTGTCGAACACTGAACGTACCGACGATGAGTGGAGCATCCAAAATAAATGATGTAGATTGATGTTTAGGGCGATGCGGCGTGAAAGTTCCTAAATAGTAGAACTATATCAGCCAATGTAACAGTGTACCGACGTACGCATTCATGCGCACAATATCTCGGAACCCCAACTGACCCGGGCATATACTATACAGGGTACGGAAAGGTCACTAACAGATTAGCTTTCAGGGCACAAACATGTGGTTTCAAGCGTGCACAACCGTGGTAGCCTATGAGGTGTACCCACGTCATTGCGCAATCAGTAGCTTATGTGGCCAATCCACGCCTGTCAGGGCAAAGAGGGAGTGGCCAGCTGGCGCCGATGCTTTTCAGAAGCTAGACTCACTCATTGTCAATTAGCAGCTACATTGGACGCTGTACCCGCCAAACCTACCGGCTATATCATATGCCGCCATGTGTAGCAGACGCCACTTTACTTCCATGGCCGCTCTAAAGGATCTCTTGTCGCGCCTTGGCGCACCTCCCAGCGACGTCTACATATTTGTAGAGGTTTCTCTCCTACCTGCTCTGCAGCCATACCTGCATCCGTTCGTCGGGCGCAATGGGAATGTGTCTATCAGCCTTCTCTATTCCGCAGACGGCGCGCATCGCTTCAGGCCCATTGTAGTGAGCTCCGATCGGGAGCCACTGAGGCTGGGCCACGATGTCAGTGGCGACGAGTGGGCATATATCCGCCGTACTCGGTCCGGCCGCATAACCCCCCAGGTAATGGCGAAATGTACTAGAGATGACACGCAAAAATGTCTCCTATGTATGGACTCAAGACGTTGGTGCTCAATATATGTCTCTGTGATACTCTATGTTGTTACGTGCAGCTTTTCACGCAGTTCATGCTAGGCCTCAACGCTGCGAAATTTGCAGAGGACCGTGACATCGTCGTCCTTGTGTCCTCGCGTAGGCACAAGCTCACTTGGGGAGAGGGCAAGCGAGAGCCGAGTGGGCCCTTCATGGTGCACCACCTAACCCATACTCGCATTGTGCAGCTTCATGATACTGTACCAGACGTGGGGAACCCCGTCGTGCAGGGCATTGTCACGTTCTTCAGGTCCGAATTCCGCACAATGTGGGTGGACCACCAGACTCGCTTCATGAGGCGCGTGCCTCCAGCTTGGGTGTGGACCAGCAACTCTCCATCGGCCGCGAACACGTTGCAGTGGACATACCAGGCACTGTGGGGGGTGGCGACATCTCACATTCAGCTCGCGTTTTGGCGCACTGGGTGCGTCCCGGATGAGTGGCTGCCTCGGCTTCACGCGATCAACCGCGACCTGCATGTCGAGGTTGTGGAGCAGCTCGTCGCTAGCCTCACGGGCCTGCAGAGGAGGCTGGACCAGTTGGACATCCCCGACTGCGTGATGGAAGCATTGGACTACGCAACTTGGGATGACACCATGGACGAGGATACGGCCGAACGTGTTCCTGAGCCGGTCATCCGTCGGATTGATGATTCAAGCAGTGTCGGCCGCGTCTCATGGGACGACAGGACTCGCCGCCGGTTCATGCGTATGGCATCTGATGCGTACACAAGGCTTGCTAGCGCGACGGGAGTAGCTCCGAGTGTCGTCGTCACGCTTAAGCGCTTGGGGAACCCGGACCTCGTTGACCGACTGTTGCGCACACCAGAGAAGAAGGTTAGGAAGCATTCATACGCGCCTTCCTCGTCCATGTCTTCCACGGCCAGCGAGGAGATATGCTTCAACTCCCCAACGGCATCCCTGTCTAGCGTGCATGGGGATATTGAGTATGGGATGTAGTAACTGATGGTTGTATTGATCTCAATAACCGTTGTATTTGTCGAATAATAAGCACATCGTCAATCATTGTGTACGTAACGAGATTGTTCACGTTGGGGATATAGGGATTTCCACGCTCAATCCGAGAGCGAGTATGATGTTCACCTCCCCGATATGGCACAATCTGAAGAAAGCGCGAACTAATTTTGCAGTTTGTGCTCGGTACACCCAGTTGACCATGAAGGCGTGCCAACACTCCACAAACCACTCCACACCGCTTCATATCGTCCCAGCAGCCCGTTCCTCGATTCTCGTAGGACGGACACTTACAAAACCCTAACGTCCGCCTAATGTTACTGATTTTAGTTGGTAGTGGCATGATGAGCGCAACGCGTTGTAAAGCGCGCGACGTGCTGGAGCCTCGTCGGCGCAACACCCGGGGTTATTTCATACGGTCTAAGCCCACTATAGCCTACGCCATAATGCAGGTGCAGGGTGCCATAATGTCACAACGAGGTGAGACCCTTAGCGCGGCCACGATTCTGAGGTCTCTGGACCCATTCCTGGGTAGTGGAAGGCGCAGTCCTAGACAGCACAGGGCGCGCGCGATTTCAGAAGCCCGTGCGTCTCTTGCAATAACATCCGATGCACCCACACCGTTCATGTACCTGAGGCTCATATACGCCACGTATCCGGACGAGTCGGAGTCGAGCATTACACGTGCCAAAGGTCGACGGTTTATGACGTCAATAGCGGATTACAGACTCGTAAATCACAGCGCAACAAGCCTCGAGGATGTCATACTGCCGGAGTTAGGGACATTTGACTACAGAGTCGTTCTAATGGCTGAGGCAAGGGCGATGGGATATGAGGTGAGGATCGTTGGCGTGCCGACTGGGTGTGTTTCCGATGGCCATTGAAAGGTGTGGGATGTTTATCTGGTGTGCAGGAGGAGAGACATCGGTCCGATGGGTCCAGGATTTCGGCACCTCACTCAAGAGACATATGCACGGGAGGTGGCACCTCATCCATTGTAAGCCGTATATGTTGTTCCGTTGATGCCCTTACAAAGGACGGTGTGTGTTGTGGTGCCTGCATGTCCTACGCTAAACCCAGATGAAGCATGTTTCAGGTGCACAGGCCCAAGGAGTGGAAGGACATGGACGAAGGAGTGCGCATCGGGGATCTCAGTCGTGCTCTGGGGATGATACCCTGGTGGTCCAAGGTATCTACTAAGCCCATGCAAGAAGAGTCCATGACGGGCACCTCATCCAAGACTATTGATTGTGCCTACGTTCGCCTAGTAAAGTATAACGCCACCCCGTAGACAGGGCCTTTTGACTTATCGGCGCGTGGGCATAGGTTGTTACGGAACGGGATTAGACTGTGCCGTGGAAACGTTGAAATACTTGCAGATGTAGCCAGTTTGAGATTTGATGTATCATGTAAACATCAAACCTAAAAAGTTTTCAGGGCCGTTCACACTATCGAGCTTCTTTGTACATGTCGTGTAACACACACCGTAAATCAATCGTGTGTACAACGTCAAACGGCGAGATTTTGGCGGCGATATCGCGGACGGAAATGGCTTCCGAAGTGGCTTCGGTGTTTGGGAGGCAGATACAAGGAGTCATTTAGCACTGTGTGGCTATTCGTTCAAACCCTAACCTTATGCCCGGTAAGGCCTCCCCTAGCAGCAACGACACAGAGGTAGCGGCGCGTCACATCAACAAGCTACTGGGTGGTAGCTTTGATCGAGATGGCACTCGTATGCAGGGACCGCCAGCGTGTGGTGATATAAACGCGGGTGCCGACATCAGTCGAGATAAAACCGTCATTGTGACTGTTACACCCGAGCCACACACCGGTAATGGCCGACAGCCGGTGGTAGACTCATCTGATGACGAAACGGAGGATGGAGTCGCGGGGGCTACGCAGTCAATTACGGGACCTGTGAACCACGAACAGCCCACGATATCAGCAGGGGGGAATGTAGATGCTGCACACTCGGTACCTAGTAGCTGGGAGAGGATGCAGATTGAGGAAATAGCCGCGGGTGCGGAGCGCGAAGATCCACCGGCCGATTCATGCGAAGGTTCTACCCGCGTGAATGATCTCTTTGACTTCTTCTTCCCTGGCAACAGGGGCGACGCGAATAATGTGCCCGTTGAGACGGGAGAGTCAGACCCTCCAAACCCGTCCAGGTATAGCTCGGCGTACAGGGCCCCGGGTACTTGCGTGTCTAGCGCCGCTACTTCTACGAGGCACGTCCGGTCACAGACAGGTGAGTACCAAACAACATGAATTGCTTGACTGCGTGCTGCCACTTGTGGGAGCCCTGTTGCACGTTATTTACCTCGCGCTGCGCTGCGTTGCGTACATGTCCCATAGGATGCCCGGATGAACGTACACACGAGTATGGGCGGCGCCGCGAGAGGCGGAGGCGTACGCACGTCGAGGACCCCGGAGGTAAGGGCCGTCCTGTTATTTGCCGTGGCCGATGCTTCACATTGCCTCACGACTTGTCTTTGTGCCCTTATGGCAGATGGTACCAGGACCACCAATATTGATGGAGCGTTGCTCCTGTTAGATGTACTTGATCGTCTCATGCGGCGACGTCGTAGTCGGCGTGACCACCGTGGCAGCTATTACTGATAAGTTTACCCCCATATGGCCGGAAGATAAAGCATGCCGTACTTGAAATGCATGTAGTTGCCCTGAACCCGCTTATGTATTAGATTTTAAGTATGCCATTGTGGTTTTGTGTGACACATGTGGAAAAATGCATTGGCATAGGTTTCGTAGGGGTGTGGACAATTGTTGTAATAATTCACCGTTTATGTCTGGCAAGGATGGGAGATAGTCCATCGGAAATCACAGACGGTGTTTGAACATTGATCTTCTATGTTTTGCTGTATCGAGTATATTCCCACCTCGTGGTGTAACCACCGCGCCTGAACAAAGCAAGTGCATACTTCACGAAGGGATTTCTTACCGCATGCATTTCAGCCGGTTAGGGTTTCTCGTTACGGATAAGGCCGCCCGCCCGGACTCTCCGCCCTTTTGTGCGTGCACGATGTATTTGACGAGCCATTATAGCAGCTGTGATAATGGGGTGACGTAGGCAGAGGACCCATGTTCCGAACATGCAGTATTAGTAACTGGAGTAATAGAACGGTCTGCGGTGCGCGAGACGTGGTGTACGGAGTTTCGGTGGTAGGATGCAGGGCGTGCGCGGCTCAAAAACAACATAGGTGGTACTGCGTGTAGTGGAGAACATGCATGACGGTAATGGTTGGCTAACGGGAATTAGAGGGGAAGTCAGGGAACGGCCATTGGGTGTGTGCGCAGATTAAGACACATGGCAGGGAACAGGTGCGGGGCGTGCGAGCAGGAGCTGGAGTCAGACAACCTACTGAGAATCCATCTGTATCGCAATGACACGTGCAGGGACACGCTGCTCGAGAGGCTCGAGAGTAGGGCGGTGGAGGCGTTGGCGGAGGCTTTGGCCGAGGTGAGAAATAGCTCGCATCATTCGGACAGTGAGTCAGTCCCGGGCAGCCTCCACTCCGCCGAATCGCTGTTCAGATATTTGAGAGAGTTTCCCGAGCACGCGGATTTTGTGCGCGGGTACGTGTCGACGTCGGACGATGGATCTGTATCCACAGTTGGCGACCTGTTCAACACCCTGAACGAGCTGTACCTGTTCTTCAAGGACGCTGATTTGTCGGACAGAGAAATAAATAGAGTGTTGCACATATTCAACCACCCGGGATACGATCCTGCAGCGGTTCGGCGCTGGCAGAACATCGCCGACGTGAGGCGGTTTGGGGAGGAACACGCGCCGGACGACATGGTGCCGTGGCTCAAGGCAGAGATTGAGGTGCGGGGCCCCGGAGGAAGGTCTCAGATGCTGGAACTACTGTACAAGGACACCAAGTTGGTGAGCGATTGATGGTTGGTGCTGCACGGAGTCGGCGAGTGTATGTCTGTTTATGCACCGTCTATACACAGGCTTCCCGCGCCTCCTTGTGGACAGATTGCGCAGAAGATGGTGAAGACATTCGTGAATGTGAGGGGATTTGTCAAACGGCCGCGGCGAGATTCGGAAGATACGGCGGACACAAGACATTTCAGTACGCCCGACACAGGGACTTGGCTGGAAGAGGCGCAGGCAAGTAGAGGCAAATGTTCCCAAGCGTCACATGGGGCTCTGATGTGAGTTGGTCTGACTCTTTTGGTCGCCTTGTGTCGTTGTCAGGCGGAACTGCCGGAGGAGGATTCTATGGTGCTGGGTGTCATCTCGTACAGCGACAGCACTTACGCGTCGGGGAACGGACGCCTACAGGCATGGCCAATGTTGATGGGTGGTCAATGTCCCGGAGGAGTTACGGTGGCGTGAGCCTGGGCACGCGCTAGTGGGTGTGCTCCCTTTTCCGCCAGAGTGGGCATTGGCGACGGAGAAGACGCGGGTGTATCAGGAGGCGTATCGCATCGTGATGGGTCCGCTCATGCGTGAGAGCCGCGAGTAAGTGGTCCGAATGCATGCTCTAGGCCGTTGGAGGCGAACGGGGTCATTGTCGGTTTCTGAGACCCATCAAACATGTACGTGGTGCATGCAGTGGTCCTCTTCGAGTCTTCGATGTGTCAGACGGCCGGGGAGGTGTGGTCAAGGCATATCCATGCCTCTATGCATTTGTTGGCGACTATCCGGAAGGGTGCCGGGCCACAGCAACGATGCAGCAGGCGTCGCACAGACTGTGCTCGAGCTGCTACATCAAGAGGGCGCACCTACATGACCTGTCAAACCAGTCAATAGTGCGCACTGTGAAGGGAGAGCGGCACGCGGCGGCGAAGATACTGAGCGCTACGACGGTGGAAGGCGCTGCAGCGATCCAGGCCAGGTGGTCTACGCATCCGATCACGGTGCGCGTTCGATGTTTGTGTGTGGCAAGTCACATGGCCGCGGCCATGATTGTAGCGGCATGATGTTGCTTTTTATGATAAGTCTGACAGCACCATCCAACGTGCAGAGCGTTCTGGAGCGCTGGAACTTCTCTGAGACGAAGTGGGGTAACGTCTTCCTGGCGGTTGTTGGCGACATATTGCATGTGCTGGATTCCGGGGTGCTGGTGCATATGGCCACCTGTTTCATGGAGGGGAAGACGAAGGCCGAGATTCGGGCGTTTGATCAGTGAGTACACAGAGATTCCGTGAACTGTTTTGTATGCGGTAGTGCGTACGTGGCGGAGCTCACCACGGGAACAATCCAATCTCGTTGCTTGTGTGTGATTGGTGCGTGGAACAGCCGCAAGTTTGGCGTGAAGGGCGAGACAAGGAGTGTCTTGGTGCGCATCCCGGGTGGCTCCACCTTTTTCCGCAGCGGGGCGAATTACGCGGCGTTCGAGTATCGTGGCATGATGCAGGTTTTCCCTATTGTCATTTCCGACCTGTGTGTGGGGCGCTCTGCGGAGGAAAGGGACCAGAGGGATAAGGAGGTTCGTGCCTTCCGCTACTATGCGGTCTTCTACAAGTCCCTGCTGGCTGTGACAAAGCACACGCGGCTCACAATCGCCATCGCGAGGCAGCATGGCATCTCGTGAGTGAACATGATGGCCACGTGTTTCGTTGCTACCATTGGCCATGTTGTACACTGTGGTGATTCTTTCAATGTTCGCATTACAATGTGCATACACCTCCGTGTAGACTGGTGGCTGCACTGCAGGCGGCTTTCCCGAGGCAGAAGTCGAAGTGGAACTTCGTGAAGCTCCACGAAGTTGTACACCTCATCAACGGCATATCCATGAGGGGTTTGCCGCACGAGTATTCCACGGAGCTGTGGGAGCATACCCACAAGGGCACCGTGAAGGGCCCCGTGCGCGGAAGCAACTGGAAAGACATACCAAGGAGGATTGTCGAGGAGGAGATGCAACGCGAGATCACTCGGGAGATTGCAGCACTGTCAGGAGGAGGGAGAACTTACTACACCGCCCTGCGAGAGGTACACAACGCGTCGCCGTGTAGTGTTGGTGGCATTTGTTAAAGGCACGCAGGTATGCGAGGTGTTTGGAATCAATGACTCCACCGGTTCATCCCATGCGTGCTCACAACCCACCCCTCAGGCTGTCCGCAGCATGAAGCCCGCGCTGACCCGCACCAGCAAGGCCATGTGTCTCATGACGGCAGACGATCCACTGCGGATGCTGTACAGGGAGACGGTGGGCAGCGAGTTTGACAACATGGCGACACTCATGGCCGCGGAAGGCCTTCAGACTTCACGTGTGTTGGTGAGATGCAGTGTCATGTTAGTAACTCGGTAATCAAGCTGTTGGCTTCGGTTGTAAAGAGGTTGGGCCGTTGTGTGTTGGACACGTACGTGAAGAGGCGTCATCGTACAATGTGTTGGTCCTCATGCAAACCCACCCATACCCGGCAGGTGCACACCGCAGTGGCCATCCCTAGCACGAAAGGGGGGTACTTGGTTCCGAAGGCGATGTTCGTGAAAGCAAGCCCGAAGGAGTACTGGTTCACCGACATTGCAATACCGGGAGAGAGGGAGGAGGAGGAGGAGGAGGAGGAGGAGGAGGAGGAGGAGGAGGAGGAGGAGGAGGAGGAGGAGGAGGAGGAGGAGGAGTGGTGGTATGCGCGGTGTCTCTGTATTTTCAGGGCGGTGAACTACAGCGGGGAGGAAGGTGCATATGTATTCGTGAAGTATTACGAGGAGGAGGGGGTGTGTCCCCAGACACTTTGCCCCCAACTGGTGCCGGGGCGGAAGGATGCCACGCACGGGATCATTGAAGTTGCATCGATCGAGCGCATTGTCCACGTGTGCAAGTCCTTTACCAATCCTAGAGTCAGGCTACTCAATAGGTTTGCACTCATCGACTGATGGATTTGAACGCATTGCGACATGAATAACAAGATGGCCCTAAGTGTGGCCCCAATCATGGAGTAATAACGTTGTTTTGATACGGAAGTGGGATATGGCCGGGATCACTGGTGAACTTGATAAATTGAAGTCACAATTGTAACTGCAAAGTAGCGTTGGAGACACTTCACAGTTGTTGCTGCAATGTCACTTTGGCCACTCAGCTGTAAATGTGCGCGCCGAAGCTTTTCCGAAGGTTTCCCGCAGGAAAAGCTACCGTGTACATTTTGTGCAAACTCGGAATTTCGCGATGGGCGAAGTGCGGACTTGAGACTTCATTTTCCATGGCATCGCTGCAGCCTACAGGCGAACTGACAGAGCGCGCCGAGCGATGGGAGGAGAAGAGACAGAAGAACAATGCTGAACCAGAAGGCAAGGACTGCTATTGTTTCGCGACGCAGCGTCCCATTTTTTCCCTCGTCTTATCACTTCGAACAAAACACATAGACTTCACCTCCCTGCTTATTTAACCTTCATAAATAGCATATTTCTTGTCAGTTTGTTCCTCTTCCCTCCACATCCTTCCATACTCTCCGTCCTTTCCTCCTGATTTTGCTTCCTCGCGAGCTATATGCGCACTGCGAAACAACTAGCTAGCACCCCATTTAACAATTTCTCCCCTCGTGTGATTCTTGTCCCTGCTGCCAATCCCCTTTTTAATCTTATCCGTTTCACCCTGCATCACTTGTTAAGTCGTTTCCTTTCTCTCCTTCTCTCTGTCACTCATTTTGAAAAAGAGTTTAAGATCGTGAGGTGGATAAAGTCGTGCCTCTATTATGTCATTCTCATGCCCCGCCAAATTATTCACGATGGAGCATTTTTACTGTTGGTGAGGTGGGCGGTACGCGAGTTGCTTAAGAGGAGCACTTTCGCGGTGCTCAAACGAAGAACTCGAAGAAAAAGCTATTTTTTTAAGCGCCTAAGAAAATATTTAAGAAACAGCGGCATTCCACACCCTTTCGCGAATTCTCTTGCCGTCCAAACCCGTTTTCAACGCCTGAAATTACAGGCGCTACGAAAACAAACGACGAACAAGCTCAGAATTAATTCAAAACAACTCTATTCCTAAAACATTCCTGTATTTCTTTCCCTCATCACCCATATCACCCATCTCACCCATCCCTCCTTCCAGCCGCCACCCCCAGCGATTACATAGACATGCTGCCGGCGAACCTCTGGCACAAAGTCTTCCTCTACCTGCTGCTGCCGCCCGGCTCCTCCCAACCCGAGACTCCCCTCGTCCGGGGGAGACGAAAGATGCCCTGGTATCTCACCGCCACAGAGCAACCCACAGCGGACAGGAACCTGCCCGTGAGATTTGTGGACCCTGATTTTTTCAGCAGCCGGGCAGCACTGGAAGAATGCGAGGAGCTATGGCAGTGGATGGGCCCTGCTGTGCTGCGCCATGGCCAGCAAGAGGCTACTCAACCTCGTGCTCTCCTTCTCCGTGAGTTATGCTCTGCTCTGCTCTGCCCTTGCTCTCCTTGGTTTCGTAAGGTACGCCCTTTTAGTTCCACCATGCTTCGGATATGAGATTCTTAAAACAGGTCCTGATTGGTTGTAAAAAGCAGATCCTAAAACAGCCTATCCGACAACTCTAATCCAAGTCCATTCCTTCCCGTCCCTCACTCCTGTTACCACCCCATCTTCCAGCAAACCAGCCTTCACCTTCTCTCCTCCAATCCCCTCCTTCCCTCTCCGCAGGCCCATCACCCCATTGTGCAGTGGATATGAGATTCTCACGACAGGTCCTGATTGGTTGTAAAGCAGGTTTAGAAGCAGCCAACCTGACAAATCCATTCCCATCTCTTTCACCTTCTCTCCTCCAATCCCATCCGTCTCTCTGTGCAGGCCCACCACCCCATCGCCCTGGTTTACAACAAGCTGCACCCGCAGTGGAGCAAAAGCGCTGCATTTCCTCAATCATGCTTTCAAATCTCGATCTGAAATTCCTAGATCAACCTTCCGGTGCCTCCATTCCTTCGAACGTCTCTCTCTGCAGGCCCACCACCCCATCGACCTGGTTTACAACGAACTACACCCGCAGTGGAACAAGAGCGTGGCCTACTTTCTGCGCTGGCGCCGCCTCAGGTCCCTCGTGCTCACCTTCACGCACTTCAAGCAGCTCGACACCCTTGACTCGCCGTTCCGTTGGCCCTTCGCCTCCCTCACCTCTCTCAGTCTCAAGCTCCGCGGCACTGTCGACAAATCCTACATGTTTGACGACGTCGAGAAGGATGATGAGGACGAAGTGGAGCAGAACTCCTGGGACCATTCCTTTGACTGCCCACGTCTGCAGCGGCTGAAGCTCAGCCGGGGCAAGTGGAATCTGCAGCACGGCTGGGCTGAGGGGTACAAGGCGCTGCGCAGCTTGACTCTCAAGCACATGGATTGGCGCTACGTGGACCTTAAAGAACTTGGCACGGTCACACCGCGGCTGACGGAATTCACGCTCTATCATAGCTGGGATCTGGACCGCCCGTCCTGAGGCCCTGGTGGCGGCGGCACATTCACTTTCGACTTATCAAAAGCTCTTATCGTTCGCTTTTACTTCCCGCAGAGCAGCCTCACGCTCTCCCTCACACTCTCTCGCTCGCTCACGACCTTCTCAGCCATGGCGAAACAACTCGTGCTCTCGTGCAAAACCACGGAACCCCTCGCTCTCCAACACCTCTCGCTGTACGGCCAGCAGCGGCTTGTCATCTCCTCCCTCCACCTCGCTTCCGTACGAGTGGCCTATCTTAACGGCCCTCCCAAAGACCACCACGCTCACAATAATGAAATTTCTTCCTACCTGGACTCTCCTGCGTTGTCACCTGAAATCTCTCCTGACAGGGAGAACGTGCACCGCCGCAGCTCTGCTGCATTCTCCTGGGCTGAATGGCTGGCCCCTATAGCACCAACAGTGGAGGTGCTTATAGTGAGGCATGGGGTGCCTGTACAAGAGGTTGACGCGGAGTGGAGCTTCCTTCGCAGCCTTGGGATTGTTGTAGAGAGAGAGGAGCGGTTTGAGGTGGATTTAAAGGTAGAGAAGCGTCGGGATGATGGTGAGAGGGAGGTTACAGTGGAGGAGTTTCAGGAGCGCGATGGGAGGCTTTTGCATGAGCAGCGGCAGGAGGAGCGGCAGCGGCAGCGGCAGCGTTTGCAGCAGCAGATTTCGCAGCAGCAGAATTTAGAGCGGCAGCTTTTGCAGCAGCAGCAGCAGCTCCAGCAGCGGCAGCAGCAGCTGCAGCAACAACAACAGGAGCAGCAGGAGCAGGGGCAGCAGCAGCAGCAGCAGCAGCAGCAGATGCAGCGGCAGCAGCAGCAGCTTCTGCTGCAGCAGCGGCGGAGGCAGCGGCCGCGGCAGCGGCAGCCGTATCAGTGGCAACAGTTGTCGCCACAGCAGGAGCAGCAGCAGATTTTGCAGCAGCAGCAGCATTTGCAGCAGCAGCTTTTGCAGCAGCAGCGTTTACAGCAGCAGCTTTTTCAGCAGCAGCAGCAGCAGGAGGAAGAGGAGGAGGGGGAGGAGGAGGAGCAGGAGGGGCAGCAGCAAGAAGAAAGACCTCCGTTTATCTTGGCTCCAAACTTGCGAGCAATCTTCTTCCCCACCCACACATGCGAGCAGCAAACCCTCGCTTCCCTCCGTGAATTCTGCCCCTCTCTCGCCCTGTACTGCATCTCACGTCGCTCATTCTACTGGGAGAAGCAGAGGAAATAGTTGCCTGAGACCCCTGTGATTCATGTGAGGAAGGCGAGAAGCGGGGTGGCTCGTGCTTGCTTTGCAGATAAGCAGCCCAAGAATGTGCGGGAGAAGATGCACAGTGTGAATAGGGATCTGGTTGATGGGTACAGTGTTGATAAAGAAGAGGCTTATATGTGGAAGTACAAAGGGAGACTGTGGTGCAGATATGGAAGTGACTCTTGAGTCGACTGGTGAATCACTCTCAAGTACAGAACTGATGCTGATGAGTCTTATGACCTTTGGTATTTGATATTGTGGAAGGAAGTGGTGTAGCTGCAGGGAAGAAAGCGTTCTGGGTCGGAGTTCCTGGCGCTGCGGTAGCTGCGGTCCGGGTCGGAGTTCCAGGCGCTGCGGCGTGACTATAAGGAGTTGGAGGCGCCCTGGTTCATGGTGCCTGGTGGGACTCCCGGGGGGGCGCCTGGTGGGACGCCTGGAGAGGCGCCAGGAGAAGGGAGAGGGGATGCAAGAGGGAGAGGGGATGAGGGAGGAAGGGAGGATGGGGGAGGGGTGGGTGCTTTCATGCCGAGAGTGGCTCTGGCTATTGATGGGGTGAGGGTGGTGATAGGGAGGGCCGCACTGCAGGGTATGTGGATGAGCCACAGAAGGGATAGGGAAGATGATTTGAGCGAATATAGCTTGTATAAGGGGTTGGATTGGAGGTGGCCTGGTTAAGGAAATCTGTTACGGGTGCAATGAATCGAAGTAGCGAGAATTGCACTAAGGTGTCAAACGAGTACCAAATCTAAGCGAAGGCATGAGCGAACATTTATACGCGAAACATGCAAACGGTAACGCGGTGCGTGCGAGCTAGCTAGTGCTACGCTGGAAGCGAGGCTCGGGCTAGTCCCGAAGCGTAGGCCGACACGGCCAGGCCAGCAGTGCGAGGTTTGGTGAAACAGTGCGCGCGAAGTCGGCGAAGCCCCGTTAGTAGTAACGGGCGAACAACGGCTGCTGCTGTACGCGATGTTGCAGGGGCGCTAAGGAATATCGAGAAGATTCCTTACACTACCCCCCCCCCCCCCCCTCAAGAAGCCCCCTCCGCTACGCGAGTGCGTGTATATCGCGGAAGCCCCGGCTCCTCAGGTACACTTGCAGGGCAGGGTGGTTTTCGATGTTGGCCAGGGGCACCCAGCTGTCCTCAGTTGGCGTGCGATCCTTCCAGCGAACGAGGAATTCAATCCTCCTGATTCCCGTGGGGTGTCGAATCCGATGGCTCAGGATTTTTTCGGGCTCGATGATCGGTTCCGATGCAGGGCGAGTCATGGATGGCGGGCGGTGGTGAGGCAGTTGGCTTGTGGTTGGGACGTATGGGCGAAGCAGGCTGACGTGGAACGATGGGCTGATGTACCAGTCGGTCGGTAACAGTAGGTGCGCGGTTACTGGCGTGATCATGTGGCTGATTTGGAATGGGCCACAGTAGCGCGGTCGAAGTTTCGGTACGTCGGGCAGTCGCAGATTTTGCGTGTCCAGCAGTACGTAATCCCCTGACTGGTATGTGACTGGGCGGCGGTGGCGGTCAGCGTTGCGCTTAGCGATGACGTTTGCTTTTTTAATTGCTTCTGCGGCTCTGGTGCGGGCAGCTTGCAGAATTTCGGCGAATTGCTGTGCACGTGGTGTTGGGTTGTCCGGACTCGGCGTCATGGGCACTGTAGGGTTTTGCCCGTAGTTCAGATAGAAGGGGGACTGCTGCGTCGTCGCTGACGTGGCGTTGTTGTACGCGAACTCGATCAGCGGCAACTGCTGCTCCCAAGTGGTCGGGTCGTCGCACGTGGCACGAATCAACTGCTCCATCGTCTGATTCGTCCGCTCCGTTTGACCGTCAGTCTCGGGGTGGTACGACGAACTGAACTGTAGCCTGGTCCCGAACTGCTCCCAGAGTTTCTTCCAGAAGTTGCTGGTGAACTTCGTGTCCCTGTCGCTGATAATCGCTGCTGGTATCCCGTCCAGGCGAACAACGGCTGCGATGAACAGGCGAGCGGTTTCCTCGGCTGAGATCGACTTTTTGCACGCAGCGAAGTGTGCCATCTTCGTCAACCTGTCAACGACGACCATCACCGCGTCGTTACCCCCAGGGTTCGAAGGTAACCCTGTGACGAAGTCCATGGGAACCAGGGCACTTGCTAGGATTTGGGCCTGTCTGAAAACACCAAAGTAAAAAATCGTTCCGTCTGACGATCAGACGGGCAATTTTTTCTGGTCTGATTTTCTATTCGAATGTTGGAGCTTAGTCTGATTTTTCAGACTATTTAATTTGCATAGTCTGATTCAGCTAACACCCTTGTCTAGCATAACCACACTTGTTTTTGTTAATGAACGTGCCCCTGGCGCGGCGCTGACAGCTAGCTAGCTGACAGGCGTGTGGCTGTTGAGAGGCATGCACGTGGCATTGAGGTGCTGCGAGGGATCAGGTTGGGTGGAGGGACGCAAGAAGAAAGGGGGGGGGTTGGGCTGTTGCGAGACTTCACGAGGGGCATGGGGAGGGGACATGGGGAGGGGACCTATGGCTGGGGGGAAGGGGGAGAAGGTCTGGACTAGGCCTAGAAGAGGAGCGAGGGCATCGAAAGGGAGCTTAGAGAAGCGAGGGATTCGGGGGGGGGGGGGGGGGGGGGGAGGGGGTTCGGTATTAGACGAATTGCAACCCGCTATCTGAAATTTCAGACTAAGTATTAGGCTTGCTCTGAAAAATCCGATGAACTAAATTTCGTAATCTTACGGATCAGACGAAGTAAAAATCCTCGTCTTGAAAATCAGATGAAACCCAAAATCAAGGTCTGAAAATCAGAAAATCAGACCAATTTGGTCTGATAACGAGAGCCCTGATGGGAACCTGCTACCAGGCGCGCTCGGGCGGTGGTATCGGCTGCAATTGACCCGCCTTCCGCTTCCTCGAGCTCTTCATCACCTGACACGTGGGGCACGAGCCCACGTGCTGCTGCACGTCGGTCAACAGCTCCGGCCAGTAGTAATACCGCTGCAGTTGCTGTCGCGTTTTTTCTACCCCAAAATGTCCCGAGGTAATTCCGTCGTGTGCCTCCTGCAGTAGCAGCTCCCCCAGTAGTGAGTACGCGGGTACCCAGATGCGGTTGGTGCCTGTTTTTACGTAATAAAATCCTTTAGCTTCTGCCAGTTGCTGTGAATTTCCGGTCGTGAAAAATGGGTCGGTGCGGTATCCATGGGTGAATAGGCCTGTTAAAAGCGGGTTGATTTGGGCGAGTAGGATGGCATGGAGTTGGGCGGTAGGGCGGGTGAGGGCGTCGGCGATGTTGGATGCGCCTTTCTTGTACGTAACCGTGTAGTGGAAGTTGGACTCGAGGTAGTCCAACCAGCGAATCTGTCGCGGATTGAGATTTGGTTGGGCGCGTAGGTACTGTAGTGATCGGTGGTCTGTCCGTACTGTCACGTCGGCGCCAGTCAGGTCACCGCCAAACCTTGAACGCGTGCACGATCGCCAACATTTCACGGTCGTGTATCGGGTAGTTGCGTTCGGGCGGGTGCAGCTTGCGGGACTCGTACGCGATTGGCTGGAGGCCGTTCCCGAAATCCTGCAACAGTACTGCTCCCACAGCGATGTCACTTGCGTCAGTGACGAGCTCGAACGGACGGTTTGGATCTGCGATGTGACGCACGGGCGGTGAGCACAAAATGTTTTTGAGGGCCGAGAAGGCAGCTTGCTTTTTCTCCCCCCACGTGTACTCAACCCCCTTCCTCAGCAGGTCTGTCCGCGGGGCAGTCAGCTTCGCCATGTCGGGGACGAACCGGCGCAC